TCTGGAAACAGCGTAACATCAAAAATCCGTCTGCCTATGCAGGTATGAGAAAGATCCTCTTGATAAATGCAGAGAAATGATCTGATGGGAGGAGAAAATGTTTGATGTTTTCCAAAACCACTGCTTTGTCAAAGGTTGCTAATCTACCATGCAGTTTGCCCAGCCCTTTAAGCACTGGGCAGACGCACTCTGGTGCTGTTATTTGCTCTTTGAGACACTCACCTCTTAAGGACGAGGTCAAAGGAAGGAAAATAGGTAGTTGCTGTTATGTATTCAAATGAATAAGATTGGCCCCAGTCCTTTAAAGTTGAGCCAAATAAGGATGTATGCCTGGTTTATACATAGAAGCCCACAGGAGAGAGACTTCACAGAAACTGATTGCTCTGAAGAACAGGACTGCACCTGTTGAGCTTTCAGGACTGCTGTAACCAAAAGCAGATTAAAAACCTGTGAAATTCAAATTCAAGCCCTTCTATGGGGGCGGGTAGATCTTTGTGGCAGCAACCTTGTTGCTGAGGGTGCAGGGAGCTCAAAAGAAGGATGTTATGCTGCTGACAAAGCTAACATAGCTTACAGACCACATGAAAATAACACTGTTTTGTTAAACAGCCATCCTGGTACGTCCAGTGCCTCCTCTTCAGCCTGTGCCAAGAGGTGAACCGAGTTGGCGGTCACACTCTGCCAAAGGTCACCCTGCAGGAGCTGCTGAAGGCCTGCATGGCAGAAGTTCTTGCTGCCTATGAAAAGCTCATGGAGGAGAAGCAGGACAAGGTACGTGAGTAGGATCAGGCCTGGCTCCAGCTTGCATGGGATGTGGGGATCACTGGGCAGTATCTGTGCTCTGGTCCCTTGTAAAAGGAAATATCCACCTGGGAGAGCTAAAGGACTGAGTTCACTCTGCCTCCCCAGAAATGAGGCAAAAAGGGATCTGACACCAGCCTGCATGCTCAGAGGGGTTTGGTTGTGCTGGCTGTTTTTTGGGGGACTGACATTTTCAGTGTCAGTGAAGAGCCCTTTTCCTATTTGCAGAAAGCAGGCACCTTCCCCATGACACAGAACAGAGCTCTGCAGCTACTCTACGATCTGCGGTACCTGAATGTCATCTTGACAGCGAAGAGTGAGGAGGCAAAAACCAGCAGGATCAAGCATGACTCCAGGTGCAGCGTAATTCTGAGTGCTAGAGACTTACAACATGTTGTGGAGCCCCAAAGCTGTTTAAACTTGCAGCCTTGCTGTCTGCCAGAACCCCCACAGGAGTGGTGCCTGGGCCATGCAGGGCAGTACAACCTCTGTGCACAGTCACAGGAACTGGCTTCTTACAATGAATCACAGCTTATCCTCAACATGTAGGAGTGGGATTCTGCAGCTGACAGTTCAGACAGCAGGCTTGTCCTCTCTGCTTTGTATACCACAGTGCATCCATGTGGTGGCAGGCACACCTTCAGAGGATGCTCCTAAAAAGAACAGGTATAAACTCTCACCTGAGTTTAAACCTTCAGCTACACTGGGGAGAAATAACAGCAAGTATTACAGCAGCACCTGTAAGAGCTGAAATCATTTTTTTTCTTCTTCACATCTTGTTCAGTCACTTCTGCAGGTCAAGTCCCTGGCAGTTCCAAAGCACTCAGTGAAACCATTCCACAGACATCAGCAGCCATCTTTGTTCACTAGGATGTAAATACTGACAGGCTTCCTCTGCTCTGCTTGTAGGATTGAGAAGGTGACTGATTTCCTGGAGGGACACATCGATCCATTTGACTTGGATGTTTTTACACCACACCTAAACAGCAACCTTAATCGCCTGGTTCAGCGAACCTCTGTAAGTACGTGGAAAGTAATGCTTCTATCAGGAAGCAGTGCTGAAAAAAATGATTTGAAGGGTAGCTGCACTGTTTTATAAACTGCTTAATGGCCAGAGACTACTGGCACTTAGTCAGGAATGGGAAGGGTATGTAATACCAGGTGACAAGAAGAGGAGCTTGCTGAGCTGGCTGAATGGCACATAATCATGCATAAAGTTGGCAGAACTTTATCTAACAGGATTTGCTGAAGCCTGTGCAATGTTAATTGGGTTAAGTAGTGCTGAAACAGCCCTAGAACTCAACTATAGTAACAGCAAGCAGCACCAATTAAGAGTTATAAGGAGAGAAGGGAGACAGTTTATAGTCAGACTTTAAACCAACCACAAGTACCGTGCAATGCTATGCCAGTAGGCTCAGCAGCAGCACGTTGTCTGATCGGCTCTGCAGATGCCCTCCTTGCAAACAGCTCTTTCATACCTTGTAGGTTCTCTTTGGCTTGCTGACTGGGACAGAGAACCAGTACACAAGCAGAAGTGGTGCTCTCGGCTCCCAGGAGCTCCATAATATCTTGCCCTTAGCATCCAGCCAGATCAGGTAAGTTACCCAGCTCTTCTATTCATTCCTGCATCCCTTCAGGAAATAGGTCTAGCATTGCTGTTTCCTATGACCAACTGCATTTTTCTTCCATCTTTTAAGGTTTGGACTTCTGCCACTCAGTATGTCGAGTTCACGGAAGACTAAGTCTGCTACCAGGAACACAGAAAGAGTTCAGGTTGGTAAAACAGAGCCATATTAACTTCTTGCCAGTGCTCATTCTCCCACCACCACTAGAGCTTCCAGGGAAAGAAGAAAGTAGCCAAACAGTTAATATTTTACCTGATTTTTATTTTCTGTAAAATGAGAGAACCATTACGGCAACACAGCATGAGATGGGTTGGATTTCCCCTTGACCCTCAAAAGAAACCTGATGGCCCCTGGATATTTTTGGGGCCCGCTTGCTGTATGGTAAAAAATTAGCAATATCCATCATGAAAATGCAGTGAAGATTTGCACAGATGACGTGTTTTGAGATCAATGCATAAAAGGGTTTCATTTAAGTATGGCTGCAAGAAATGTCAAAGGATATTATCTAATTATTTCAACTCCCTTCCAGTGCGATGCTGACCTTTAACTCCTGATGAAGTTGGCCTGGGTATTTCAGCCTGTGTGAACCGAGTGGCTTGCTTCTCTTGCAAAGGCTCTACCTCATCTCGTTGCTGTTTTACTAGCAGACAAACATTATGCTGCCACGCTTCCTCCAGTTTAAAACATTTGCTTAGGTGGAGCTCCCTGTGCTGAGGATTGAAAGAGCCAAGGGATACCTTACTGCTACAGGAAGCAGGAATTAGTGATCCGTTTTCTTTAGCCATTGATAGTCTAATAATCAAATTGATGTTTCTTCAGTTGAGATGGAAGAAGATCTGGCTTTACCAAAGCCAAGTGTTACTTGAGATGCTGGCATTTACTCTGCAATTCTTGTTCTCTATGATTTAGAAGTACTAAAAAACAGATACAGTATCAGGGTTATTTAAGAAGCCCAAAGCTTAACAGTAAATGTATTCTTTACCTCTTTCACCTCAGCTGTAGTAGCGTGTAGAAGTGTGCAGTGATGTTTGTCTTGCTTCCACCACTCCCCTGCTAAGGGGGCAGCAATGGCTATGGAGTACATGGACATTCTGCATTCACTCCACTCTGCAGAATCACTTGTTCCTTTTATCATAGAACAGTTCTAGAGAGGTTAAAGTCCGCAATTACTCCAGAGCAGCTCTCTAAAAAAGCAACAGCTGTGCTTATACTGTTGTTGCCCCATTGTTCTGATCAACAACAGCCTTTTCCTTACTGCAGAATTACTGTGTTTGAGCACTGAATGACTTGTCTATAGTTGCTAACACGAAGAAGCTGTGCATCCATCTCTCAGAACAACCTTTCACTGCTTGTCACTGCAAAGCCAGTTGGGTTGTCTGGAAACAGCTCTTCTGCTGTAGTCTGTACCCCCTTGCAGCTATACTGTAGATGAGGGTTTGGTCAAAGGTATGCTGTTATCATTCCTGACTCTCTTGTATTTAAAAACAGGTTCCACCTCCTGCATTCACAAGAGCAGAAGACGAGGCCTTGCGCCCTGGCTCCTTGTTCAGGCAACTTGTAACTGAGGAAGAAGACACAGCTGCATCTTCTCTCTTCAAGCTGGGATGGCTTTCTGGTATGACCAAGTGATTCAATAAAAGAGTTTGTCTCCGCATTTGTCTTCACTGCAAACACTCTCCCTGCAGCAGGGACTGGTGACACCTCCACAGGTACTGTCAGAAGTGAAGTACTTTCCATCCTCAGCCAGATGGTAGCATGCCACTTCAACCAGGAGCAGGTCAGGACAGTCCTCGCACTCTGGCTGCTGAACCAGAGGTCTAGCTACTCTTTTACTTCCTATTCCTTCAGAGTTGTTAACCTTAAAGTCAAGTTAAAGAAATAAAACTACACAATGTAACAGAAAACAAAACATTTCACAGCTAGAAGTTGGTATTAGAGCAATGTAAGATTCCTCTTTCCTTCAAAAGCTCCTCTCCAGGCTACTCTATGCTTTCCTCAGCAGATACCATGTGTCTGTTCACTAAATGAAACCAGCAGGCATCTGGTATTTTGGCTACAGCTGCCTAAGCTTTCCTGGTTCTAGTTTCACAATTTATTTTCAATACTGCAACTGTAAAGATAAAGCAGACAGGGCTCATCACACCCCAAACCTGGTGGAGAGCTTACAGCTATAGCAGTCCTACAGCACTCCTGTGGCAGCATTTACTTTTACTGTCTTATTACCTCTAAATGCTCAAAAAATTATTTTCCCAAATACATTTTTTACTGGTTTATTGAAATTAAAAAAAAAAAGACTTATAAAACTGAAGATGAACGCTGGAAAGAATTTTACACAGAGCAACAAATTGCTAACAGATTAGGCAGTCAATTGGAATTGGACGTTATGCAATCCTATATCACAGATGTGGATTCCTCAGTCTCCTCTTGACACGTACTTTAAAACCACCCCAAAAAGAATCCTATAAAAATTGCTTCAAAGCCCCTTTTGCATTGCAATAGTGCAGCAAACCACAAGTAAACAATTTCCTGTTAACCTGTTATTTCATTTCAAATATAGACTGAAAAGGCAACAGGCGTTTTGTGCAATTTCATTTTAACAAACTAAGTTGAAATATCCAATCTACACAGTGCTGTCCCTTCACAGAAGGCAAGGAACTGCTGGTTCATCATGTAGGAGGGCGTCCCCGGCTCTGTAAGCTGTGGAAGTGTGCCTCCTTCAGGATCTGGTTGATGTGGAAGTAAGGACCTTGACTTAGTGCAGACTGCTCATGGAAGGACTGAGAGGAGACAGGGCTGGATCCCGTAACTATGGGGTTCAGGCTGGGTTCTGGGCCGCTCGCTCTGTCAGGGCTGTTGATGCTACTGCTACTACAGCTGCTGCTGCTGCTGCCGCTATCGCTGCTGGAGGACTGAGACAAAGAGAATGTTAACAGCAAAACGACACATTTTTCTCTCCTGTCCACAACAAAATGCCTCAGTTAAGCAAGCAGTCTTTACAGTAAGTCCCTCCCTTCCAGATTTTTAGGCTCGTATTTAGCCTGATGGACAAAAGAAATCAACCAAGTGCTTTCTTGGCATTCATAGCTGCAGTTATTGCCAACACATGAAAAGCATTACAGAGCTGAAGGGACGAGCAAGCTTTCACCCAGAGTTTCACTGACCTCCAGTTCAAACCTTGTGCTTTAAGCCCATCAGCTCTGCCCCCATGACCCACATTTTAGCACTAGTGAAGTTTGCTGAATTCATCCGAGAACTGGAAAATAAAGAACGTCCCTACGAAGCCGCACGTGTCAGTAAAGGCAGGCAGGGCATGGGGAAAAAGCTGTACCATCCTCACATGAATCTCTTCTGGTTCAGCAGACGTTTTAGGTAAGCACCATGCAAAGCATTTTTCTAGAAGTCAGGTGTTTTTTTTTTTTCTAAAATGTGATCTGAAGCATCCAAAGCAACAGACTGTTAAAGGCAACACGGATACCCATTGTAGGTCTTTGAACACCTCAACATGCATACAGCTCTTCTCCCAGTGGAGTATTGGGACTGCAATGTTAGCTGTCAGTTTTCCATAGCAATTTACTTGACACAGCAGTGAAAGAATGACAGCCATCTAGTACTTCCACACACAGAGAAGAGAGAGAACTTAAAATCAAGCTCACACGGAGGACAAGGCTCGTTTGCCAGTGTTTGGGATAAACACACCTCAAGGTAATAACTGCAAGAGCATTAGCCATCATTGTCAGCGTTTCAAAGACATAAAACTGTTTGGTTTGTACCATTTTAGAGGCTGCTAATGAAGGGCCTCCATTAGCTAGAGCTGAAATACTTGAAAGCCAGACTAGATGTGGCTCTGGGCAGCCTGGTCTGGTGGTTGGCGACCCTGCACATAGCAGGGGGGTTGAAACTAGATGATAATTATGGCCTTTTTCAACCCAGGCCATTCTGTGATATGCTGTTCAGGACAACAGTGCAAAGATTTAGGTGCTTAAGAATCAGCAAGTGACATTACTTTGCCATCCTGCAAGAAGGAAACTCAAACAAGCAGCCACCGTAAATGACAGCAGCTAAAAACAAAAAACATTTTGGTAAGCATTAAGTTAAAACCACAGAAGTCAGAGCTTGGCAGCGACAGCACAGGAGGACAAATTTAAGGAAATCAACTGCAATTTAACAGTTGGCACCATACCCAGAAAGCCTCACTTAAGGGTAAATCTAAGAACAGTGCAAACTGCATCTGTGAGAGGCTTGGGAAGGCATGTGCAAATTGGGGATGGATCACGATGCCAGCTGGAAGCCCCATGGCACTGATTCCACAAGTGATCATCACAGTTCAACCATGTAAGTTTCCTTGTTTTGCTAAGCACTAAAAACACTTCTGTGCTTCAGTTCTGTTCAAGTACATCAAGCAAGACAATGGTAGTGAGGCTGCACCCGTGCTGGCGTGTTAGGTTCAGCTAGCAAGGAGAAAACAACAAAAAAATACATGAAGTCATTCTTAAGGAAGCAGCAGATGTAACTACATGAGCAACCCACTCCTTTTTCTACTGCTACTGACACTCGAGAGGGAGAGAACACCAGAAGGACAGAGAGGAGCAGCGAAATGGCACCTGCTGCGCCATCTCATTTTGCATAGAAGCACAAATACTGAAATGCAGTGCTGTTATGCTGAACAAGTCACAGCAGCCTTGGAGAGAAACCCACCGCACAGGACACTTTGTTTCCTTTTAGTCTGTGTTCCTTACTGTTTTTCGTTACAGCCACCTTCTGAAAATCAAGGCAAAAGTCAAAATGAGAACCTAGCATCACTTACTGCCCAAGTTTTGCATCTCATCAGAACAAAAACATTTTAGAGCTGTTAGTAATGATTATTTTTACGCATTACTGATTTTATTTTTAAAGCATAGACTGTGTCCTGGGACGTGCTTCCTACATCTAAGGCTGTTGGCAGCTCTGATTTGTCAGACTCTTTATTTCCATTTCTCTAATGCAAAAATTCACTAGCACAAAGCCCCTTTATAGCCCAAATCATGTCATGGACCTACCATTTCCCCAGGCTGTGGTGCACATTCTGTTACGCATTTGGACTACAATTAGACAAAAAAAGAATCCTTAAAGTCATCATGGCAGCAATGACAGGCATCTACACAATGAAACAAAGGTTTAAGCAAATGGGCAGAAGAAAGCCCTGTGAGAGTTTACGAGCACCTGAAGCATCAGAAGGGCATCTCCATGGCTTACCCAACTCATCAGCCCCCCCTTAGCATAACACAAGTATCATCTGGACATTTGCTTGGAAACTATTTATCTGCATCAATCTGCTGATCTATGATGTTGTGTCTCAATCACTAACAGCAAAAACTCAAGAGCAGCATGATCTAAGCTGAATTTAACAAAGAATTAATCTGTTTTTTATTAAAATTTAGACCAGCCCTTCCTCACCATGGTAATATCTGTAGAGTGGCATAGCTGCAGTGCTACAGAACAGCTTCTATTTGAGAGAAGCAACTGCTGCCTTGTGTCAGCAAACTCCAACAGTAATAACTGAGAAATCCCATCATCAGTCAGGCTAACAGAAAGGAATCCTAAAAAATTAGGTTCAGGAAGGAAAAGAGTTGATGGAATGCTGCAGGCTCCCTTCCTTCCAAGGGAAAAATCAGAGCAAACGGCTCTCCCCAGTGATTCCCAGGCTGCAGAGCACAGTGCTACATTCCCCTGATTCCCCACATAACAGCTCCTCAGCAGATCCACTGCAGCTCTGCCTAACCTGACATACAGGCTAGTCGAAACAGCAGAGCTTTGCTAAAGTAATCAGCAGGTATCCGTGTAGACAAGAAAGCTAACCTGCTGGTAAATGGAGAAGATAGAGGACAGGATGAACAGGAAACAAAATGCAGTGGCAAATGCTCTGCTTTGCTACATGACTGCATGTATGTTTATGGACTGAACTGCAAAGCAGAAGTTTCCCACAGTTGTCACCCGGGAGTGCAGGAGTGGTTGGTTCTGAGAACAGAAGGAACTGCACATCATTACAACAATTTGCCAAGAGGCAATGCTGATGGGTGCTGAAGAACATCTCAGTTTCCCACCTGCTTAAGTCATCTCAAGTTAAAAATGCTGCCTACCCCCAGATGAAAACAGCAATCCCCTTTCCCATTACACACAGCTCATAGGAGTGGCGTGGCTGAAAGCAAGGACTGAGCGATGCCATCAAATTACCCACGCATGTACAGCCACTAAAAAACCTCCCTTCATCTAACAATTGGCTATCAGCTATAGAGAACAAGGCAAAACACAAAGGCCTGCCATGAGCCTTTCTATTTGAGGTTCTATTTGAGGACTATGGCCACCTGGTTTTTGTACCAAGGTTAAGTTCAAGTCAATCACTCCATGAGAAGGAAAGCCAACTTTCAAATGAAGGGAGGCAAAAGGAATCAGAGCTCCAGCCAACATGACACAAAAAGCAGGTGTGTGCGCCCTCAGATGGAAACACACTGTCCTTCCTATTCCTTTCCTACAGCTGCTGGGGGCTTTGAATCAGCCAAAGCTCCCCTTGCAAATGAAATATCAGAAAACTAAGTACAAGCATTACAAAGTGGCAACAGTTTCAAAGTGACACCAATCGGAAGCACTTGCACACTGCAAGCACCAAAATGTCTCCACTTAGTACAGGAAGTCCTCAAAGAAACATTGAATACTGATTTAATCGCACAGCTTTAATCTCTGAGCATGCTCAGTTCAGTGAGTCAACATTACAGGAAAACAAGCAGGGAAAAAAAAAAAAAGAGCTCTGTTCACCAGTGAAAAACATTGTGAATTTTGTTCCCTTGAGAAAGAGAACATTGATTTCTGTAAAACTGTGCCCAGCACACACATTCTCCATTCCAGCATCACCAGAAAGATCTCCTTGCCTGCACATCAGGGTTTAATGTGTTAAAGCATATTTCTGCAACGCAAGTGCATGCATGAAGCAGAAATCTTAATGTTAGCTTCAGCAATTGAACTCTGCTCTGACTTTGCCAGCAACAGGGCAGGCAGCTCATACCCATGCTGTTCACTCACAGGCACCCCAAACAAAACAGCAGTTAAGGACAGAGGTAAGGGCATCTGCTCCCATGTATCCACTACAAGGCTGTTCCCATTACTGTGTTTTAGTGGCTTCGCCCAGCCAAACATCAAGTGCTCATAGGACAAGCAAAGGTGCTTCTGCCACTCACCATGAAGGTTTTTCCTGATATTCTCAATTTCATTACTCCCATTTCAATCCCTTGTTCCACACTAAATTCTTCCTCCTCCCGCCACAAAGCTTGTTTAGCCATTAACTACTCTACACACGAAGAGGTGTTTCACCTGTTGGACAAGTGATTCTGTGTCAGGTGGCAGGCAGCTATTAATGCATCTACCCGTTATACCCAAGAAGCAAAACCAACTCCACCCAGCAAATCCTACTTTTGGCAAAAACAATATAGATAACAGCAACATCTCCCATCAGAGCAACCTCCCTCGTGACAGACATCTCAGCTGTGCAATCCCAGTATCACAGCAGCCACTGGTAAAACTGTGCTGGCTAAAAGAAAGCCTCCCTCACAGAAGTGATGGTGGGATAGAGAGGTTGATATCATTTTAAATTTAAGTATGCATTTGAAGGCATTGCTACATGATAAAAGATAAGCTGCTCAGGTACAGAGCACATCACATGTCGTGCAAAGCATACTTAGTAGTTCAATATAACAATATCTTGTGATTACTAATTAAGGTCAGTCTTCAGAGAGAGAGAGAGGGCTCCATTGAAAATTAAAAAAAAGAATTGAAAATCTTAGAAGAAATCCATTTCATAACTTCCAGGGACACAAACTAACAGGCACTCTCTGCAGTGTACGCTCTTCTCCATTAATGCTTTGCAATAAAACTATATTGCTAATTAGAAATGCACACAGTGAACCTGCAGATGATTAATACAGGCAACAATTCAGGAAATCTGGTGGCAGCGTGAAAATCAGCATCCTTTTATTTATATATTTTTTTTTAAATCTCAGATGCTAGCAAATGACACCATGCTAGAACACCTGAGGGATGAGACCACAGCAGACAAAAGCTTTCTGGTCAAACATAACACTTTTCACTGGAAAACATGCTGATATCCAAACTGCATTTTACAGATTTGAGACTCTGATACATAAGGGAGTTCGTGTCATACATAAAGGAAAACCAGGCCTTCAATAACAACTTCCTATGAATACAATTTCATCGAATAATCCAACTATTCAACTCAGCATTAAAGGAAACTAAATCTGCCCAACAAGGCTCTCACCTCAGTGTCCCAAGAGTCCTGAAGGACAGTATTCCTGGTACTACGTTTGGTCTGTGGAATATGACTGTCATCTTCATTACCATTGCGCCTCCTCTTCCTGAAGAAAGTTCAAGGAGAAAGAAGAGAAAAAGGATTATCAGCCTACTACTGTACTGCTGGTTTGGGCCTTCAAAGGTGATTCTTCAGGAAAAAAAACACAAAGAGGAAAACTCATTAAATTAATGACAGACATCTAAACCTCTGATGTGTTGTGGGCATCATTTTCTCTTTTTAGCTGTTCTCTATGGAGAAAACCCTCCTCCTCACCAATTAGTCAGGTCGATGTTTCGTATCAGTTCAACAGTCAAGGACTCACACTGACCATGCTAAGCATCTCTCTAAACAAATTTATTTGACAACTCTCAGCCTTGTAACTGCTCTCAATGTTCAGGCACATCTATAAATAAGCCTGGGACTTTGGAAAAGATCTGACAGGCTGAACAGAGCAGCTGCAGAAAACAGTGATCACACTTTCAATAAACACCCAGTTACTTTCATCTTGTTTACATGAGTCTACAATTGGAGCCTGTGACGACTTTCTTCAGTCTCCCAACTCAGCATCTGAAATCAAATCATGCTCCTGAACCACGTTTATTTTTTGCATTTCTAAAAGAAAGGTTTGCTTGCTGTTAAGGTGGAAAGCACATCCTAGAAGACAAATCCTTCCCCTGTTCGGATCTATCTGCCATCCTCTTATGACATCAGTGCTGCTCCATAGAAGCTTAGCAATAACAGCAGCTTAGAATCCCTGTGAACTGCTATCTGAGTGTCAGCAAAACCTGGCTGTTAATGTCAGATGATTTTTCCCCACAGAAACACAGTCTGTCTACCAGACCCTCAGTATGCTGAGCATTATACAAACGCTGGGAGAAAACCACTTTGATAACTGAGGATTAACACACATAAACACTCTCAAATGAGTCAAAACAGATTCAGGGAAGATATTTATAACTGATTCTTTCTGGCTGAAAAGCTGCAGCAGCAGCAGCCTCAGCCCACGCCTGCAGACCAGAAGCTGCCTCCTGCCTCTCCCTCCCTCGGGATGGCCACAGCACGGCTGCCTGACGCCCACCTCAGCATCCCACGCTGTCACACCGCCCTGCTGAGCAGAACCATTCCCCACCTCGCTACAAACACGCTGCGTCCCCACACAACGCCTCGCTCACCACCCCCTCTCTGCCATTCCACCCCCCAGCTTCCTGCTGCGGCCTCACAACACACACAACACACACAGAATTGCCGTCCCGGCACACAGCCCAGCCAGGCCATCCTCACCGACCCCAACGCTCCCCTCCGTTCCCACAGCCATCCCCCGCCATCCTCTCCCCCACCCCCCCCACAAACCCGCGTTGCCAGCAGGCCGAGACCCTCTCAGGCCCGCCTCCGCCTCCGGCCGCGCTCCCTTTCCCCTTCCTCTCCCTCGCGCCGCGCTCCCACCTCTGCCTGGCTCCCCGCTCGCTGGGCAGCGGCTGCCGGCAGCTCATGGCGGGCACAGCCCGACGGCCGCGGTGCGCTCCGACGCCGCTGATGAGATCCGGCGCCGCTCGACTCCCACCGCCGCTTCCGGCGTCTCCACCTCCCGCACATGCGCACCGCCCGCCTTAACCCCGCCTTTATCTTTATGCGCATGCGTGACGCTCGCTTTAGCCCCGCCCCGATCGCTGCGCGCACGCGCACTTCGCACATCCCGAGGCCCCCTCGCTGAGGGCTGTCCGTCGCGCTGCCTGACGGAAAAGCGGCCCCACCATGGCCGAGGCCCCGCCGGGCACGGAGCGCTGCCCGCACTGCCGGCGGCCCTTCAAGCGGCTCCGCGCGCACCTTCCGCACTGCAAGGCCGCGCCCGGCCTGGAAGCGGAGGGAGCCGGGCGGCGGGAAGAGGCGGCCCTGAGGAAGAGGAGGAAGCAGCAGGCCGCGGCCCAGCCTCGGGTGGAGGCCCAGGCGCTGGTGGAGGCCGAGGCCCGCGATGTGGCGCAGTCCCTCGACCTGCTGCCCGAGGAGGTGGCGGGAGTCCCGGAGAAACTTCGGGACGGGGTGAAAATAGTGATCGAAAATCACCGCGTGAAGGTGGTGAGGGAAAGGAGCGGCCCTGGGGGGCAGAGCGGGGATGGCCCTAAAGTGCTGCGATCGGCCGGGCCCGAGGGAAGAAATGCCCCAAACGCAGCGCACGTGGAGGTGCCTGGCCACAGAGCTCCCGGCTCAAAGGGAGGAAAAGACACCGGTTTAAATGCGGTTAAAACACGTGGGCTGCACGGTCACCCTGAAGCTGACAGCAGAAGGAGCCCCCGTGACCTCGCTCAGCAGGAGGGAACAGACAAAACCCTGACAGAAGAGAAGCAGGTGTACGTGGAAGCTGCTGTGGAATACAAAGCCCCTCTTTCTGTTTTGCACGCCCAGAACCTCCATCTGTCAGCGAGAGAGGATTGGAGAGGTCATGAGGAAGGGACATCCAAAAATTACCTAACCAGCATACAAATGCTCAGTGTGAACAAGAAGCAGGTGGCTGTCGTTTCCGAGCCCATCCTGAATGCAGGGAGGGACAGCAGGCTGGCTTTGGACCAGTCCTTGCTCCACACCTCCAAAAGCCAACCCATCTGTCTCCCCCAGGCCTCTGGCAGAAGCACACAGTCAGGTGCCGTGGGTTTGGAGTGGCTTCCAGACTTACATTCTAATTACCACAGTCTGAGCATGTTTCCTGGGAAGTCTTTTCAGGATGATGGGGGGATCACACTGAAGACACCAAAGGGCAATTTCTCAGAAGGACATCAAGGTAATGTTAGAAACAAAAGTCTGCTGCTGAGATCTGCTATACTGCCAGGCTGAACTGTAAAATGTGAATGGAAGAGGAGGGGTAGGAAATGCTGGGCTGCTGGGCTTTTTCAACAAGTGATCTGGATCAGATCTGAACAGGTCTAACTCTATGGATGGATGTTACCTATCCAACTTTCTCACCCTGGAAAACCAAGGGTTTGTGTTTTTAGGTTTGACTCTTGCACACTGGGGCCAGTTGAGCCAGCTCACTTTGTGGGGGGACAATTCACTCTTCCTTTCTAAGCAATCTCAAGGTCAAGGCACTCGCAGATACACAAGTTACCAGCTCCATGCTCACCACTCATTGCAGGAGGCACAGTCACAGCATGTATTGGCCTCAGTTTCCTCCCTCTGACCATTTTGACTTCTCATTTTGCAGGTCCTCTCTCAGAAAGGCACCTGATGGATGTAAGGCTGGGGGAGCTGCCCATGTGGCTCACCACCTGTGATTTTTCTCCCCGGGGGCTGCTTGAAGGCGTGCAGAAAGGTGAGGCTAAGTTTCTAGCTCTTGTGGCAGAAACATCCCACTTTACCTGATAATGTGCTGCTGCAGCCTGATCCAAGGGACCAGTCTAGGTCTCTGTAAAAAAAGTAAATTAAGAGACCCAACCTTCTAGCTTAGAAAGGCACATGGAAACCAATCAATCAACTCCATCTGACTAGTATGCAGTTTGACCCTTGTGTTTCTATTCCAACAGTTTGGAGCAGTTATTACAACAAATACATCAATGTGAAGAGGGGTGGTGCAGCTGGAATCTCCATGCTCCTCGCTGGATACTGTGTCCTCAGCTACAGCTGGAACTATCAGCATATCAGTAAGATTTCCTTCTTGGTATCTGTCTTATTTCAGGTAATTCCCCTTTTGCAAAAGCTGCTATGATTATTTAATAGTCATGGCTTTTTAGGCTCAGAAGTAATTTAAATACTTCATCAGTAAAAATAGTATCAGAGCTCAAGGAACAGCATTCTGATTTGGTTTACGAAAGCAGAGGAATTTAGTAAAAATGGTGGTAACAGTTATCAATTTGCAGCTTCTCTCTAGCTAGAGCCAGGAACAGTCAGGAGCACTGTTCTTCTCCCTTTGCTCTGTGCATGGCTTGAGATATTCCAGCTCCTTCCCTGGATTTACTCATAAATGACACAAAGGATTAACTGGTGTCTGTAGTTTCTCCGCCAGGACTTGCTCCCATGTGCAGCTTTATAGTAGATAAACAATGAAGGCTGTATTCAGACTCCTGCTCATCACTGCTGGGCAAAGTACTCTTGTCATATAGTCCCTGAGCACAAGACTGTGCTAACTTTTTTTTTTTTTTTTAATTCCCCCTACCCTTTTTTGCTAGAGTGTAATCGCTGGCGTAAGTACCACTGAAGAAGCTGCAACACCACCCAGGAAAGACTGGTAAATGTTTGACAGAGTCAGCACAAGCTCCTGGGACCATCACAGTTTGACACCTCAGTGAAACAGCAGAGGCCCATTTCCTGTCAGAAACAGGCTCTTAAATTGTTGATACTGGGTGGGAGGGAGGATGCTTTTCAGCTACCCTCCTGCAGATAGAGGGGTACTGCTGACAGCCTGCAGTCACTGCTCTGTGGGTCAGTGTTTAGTACTGAAAGACAAGAAGGTGATAAGGCAGCTCCTCAGAGGTCTGAACGCAGTGGATTTCCTATGGTATTTGGCAAAGTATGTGGTAGATCATTGCAGAGAGGGGTTAATAAATAACCAGAATAACCATTGCCTTAAGTTATCAGAGCTGTACCTAGCACTGGGCACCTTCTACTTTCTTCTTGCCACAATAAGCAAGATTATGTTTGTAGTTAACTTGTGAAAGGAGTGTGATCCCTGCAGAGCCCTTCTACAAAGGGGCTCCTACTTCCCTTAAACACTGTCTATGGGTCTACCTGGGCTCTGAGACAGCTACAGGAAGGATCTTTGTGGAGGTTTTAATGCAGCAGCACTGAGAACACAGTGCCCTATTTCTGGAGGAAGAAAATCCATTGGATTAGCTGTTGTGCCCAAAGGGCAAACCGACATCAGACAAATGAGGACAGTTATGAGAGTGCTAGTTGTAGCCTGCCATTCTCAAACATGTCTGGAAAAGGTTTGGTCGTGTTACAGGCACAAAAGGAGGCAAAAAAAAAAAAAGTGAACTCTTTATTCTAAGTGGGGTGCAGGAGAACTGTGTCAGAGGTGTTTCACAAAGAACTCCCTTCTCACCAGCAATAAAATCCTTGTGAGTTTTTCTTTCCCGTTTGGTTCTATGCATTCTTAAACATGGTGATTTCTTGCCTACTTCTGAAGTGACCAGCACACCCCCACTTTCCTCTGACCCAGGCACAAGCCATTCCTACCCTCCTTCAGACTCATGGGCTGGTAATCTCCTAGTGCCATCTCCTTGCTGCACCAGTCCAAGCATAGCCACATTCCAGCTGTGCAGGAGGGGACAGAGGCAGTGACTGTGGTGGAAATAGTGAAGAGTCCTATTAAGGAAGATGCAATTTCTCTTTTGCTGCTCAGGCACATAGCTGTAAGAGCAAGTGCTGAGCATAGCCAACAGGCTTTTCTAGTCCAGCAGCTGTCCTAGTGGCCTGTCTGGCTCCATCAAGTTGTACATCTCCCTCTGTCTTCCTTCTGCTTTCCCTGTGAGAGCACTCATTTCCTCAGCAGGATTTCCATTTGATTCTTCCCACACTTGCCAACATAGTGACCTTTCTGTCTGCACTGGGGAAGGAACAGAGAGAAGCAGGCATCAATTTTGTGATAGATCAACCCTGTGCTGCTTTACCACGTGATCTTGTCCCATCATTTCCAAGTGAGTGGACTAATGGAGCTATACCTCATCTGACACAGCTTGTGCCTATAAGAAACAGCCTAAGGCTTATTACTACAACAACCCCCTACCTTCAAGACTGCTTTCCACAGCTATTCTACTGTGTGCCAAGTGTTTACAATCAAAGAAGTCTCCACATTATCACTTACAGTCCTTCCCAGACAGTTCGTACCTCATCTTCTAGGGACTGCTGTCAGTCAGCAAGGCTAGATTTACAAAACCCACTTTCAGAGAGCCTTCCCACAGCTCGTCCCTCTCTCTCACTCCTCCAAGGTAAAATAATTTTTCCCAAACCTCCCAACCCCAACATCTCCCACCTTGAAGCAGATGCCTGATTCTGGTAGGCACTGTAGGATGATGGAACTATTGCTGGGGTTCCTGGGCTGCAGTGCCCTGGGCTGGGTGGTGCTGGTGACGAACAGTAGGGGCTCTGCAGGTGACACATCTTTGCATCCACTCTCCCCCCTGGCAGCAGGTCCTAGTCATGCCTATCTTCTGAGGACATTCTGCTCCCGGCAGGGGGGGGGGGGGCATGGGGCAGTCAGCTTCAGCAGCCCCCAGCTCCTACAAGAGCACTGGGGCAGGGGCACAGAGAAAGAACACTTCAGTTTGAGACAGATCAGTGTGGGGACCTTCCCTGCATCACCTTTGCTGGATCTGTGCTGTGCATCATCAACCCAGCCTTGAGGCTGCGTAGGGACACAAGGACAAGCAGTTACCCCCCAGGACACAGCAAGAAGTACCCCCTCATGGCACTCACAGCCTTCCAATGCTGTCCCAGAATTCACATCCCCCAGCCAGCCCTATCTGGCTGCATGCCAAGCTCCCCTCCATCCCACCCCATACTTACTACATAAATTTGCATTTAGGTCCTTCAGGGCAGAAACCAACAAGGTAGTTGGCACACATCACCCTCTATGTGTGCTTGTACCTGCACAGGGGACCTGCCACACACTCAAGAGCTCCCC